AGTGCCACGCTAGTAGTAACAAGTGCCTTACTAGTAGTAACAAGAAGTGCAACCTCAAGACACATCTCACTCCCAAGAGGCCGCAGGCCGCAGGCCGCGGTAGATGGGCAATCCGAACACGACGTCGGAATCTGACAGAGTCATCCTCTAGTCATCCCGGCTGCCACTACTTCAATGCCAAATCATGGCAACGCTGTTTCCAAGAAGTCATCCCTGCTGTATATGTATAGTTTCATCCATATTAGAACCCAAAATTCAAGCCAGGTGTGTGATTCGGCAGCATCACTTGGCATTCCAAACAACAAGCTAAACAGTTGCAAGGGCAAATCTGAAGTTGAAGGTCTGCCGAAGTCTGCAAGATCCCTGTTTTTGGTCAACATCCAAGGTATGAAATGGTTGAACAAACATCTCGACATATTATTTCGACATGTCTTCTCTTCATGTTTCGGACGATGATTGACGACCAAATGAGCTTCTATGAGCTTCTGACTCGAATGCCCTTGTGTGCCAACAAGGAGTCAGCAATGTCCTCGCAGGAGGTGTTTGCGGTGTTTTCTGTTCTTGGTTTTCGTAACGATGTCTACCAACCGGTGACACACATACACTTGATGGAGAAGTCTTTCTTGTTCGCCGTCGTAGTTGAGATAACTGTTCTGGATAGTGGATTGACTTCTGACAACAAGTACTGCAGCTTCAGCTGTGATAGTGGATCTTCCACTGTCTGAAGAAAGGGGAGAACCATGAGGAACTGGTCAGCAAGGATGCTCTCAAGCAGCGGAGCGGTGAGGCTTCTCCAGTCCTGAGGCAATCCCGGGCACCAGGATCCTGCAGTGGCCGTTGCATTGTATTGCCAAATGCTGGTCAGCTAGCTTGGCTCCATGCTAGCGTGAAACGCGCATACACACGCACTCACTACGCACAAGTGCAACAAAACACAATTCCTTCAAAATTCACAAGGATAGAATATGATCTTCGTCGAGACACAATGGTCTGCGATATGTCTAAACATGTCCAATGTGAAAGGTGATGAAACAAAGTGATGGGTGCAAGGTGGTCCTGATGCAGGGAGAAACACATCCCCTTCTGACAAACTGCTCATCAATGGCTCCTGACAGGACTTCCGCGTGTATGTGGCAGTCGATGAGGTGCAAGCCAAGCCGACTCTACGTCACAGCACCGCTGGGGTTCTCCCCTCCACTGACTGAAATGTGTCCTTTTAAGGGCTGTAAAATGTACCTTTGACATGTTCCTGTGTGTGTGCGGGGGGACAATCCAAGGTTCAACGACAGCACAAAATTAATTCAATGATGTGCTTCAAGGAAGGAGTGGTGCTAAATTCTTTGTGCTTGAACAGGGGTTGAACATTGCAATTTAATAGCTTCATCATTGGATGGTACTAGCCAGGATGCAGCGAAAAGAGTCCAGCCACCACAGGGAAAAATGGGAAAAAGGAGCAAAAGCTAGTCTGCAAGCTATCAAATGCATCCAACGTCATCCTCAAAATCCTCCATCCATTTAAAGAGACAAAGACACATTGAGATTCGCTTGAGCTTAACCCTTCAGCTTCTCTGTCCCACACTTCGATCCCTTGCCAATCCTAACTTGCTAACCCTTAACTCTCCCGGGCCCATGACTAGCATGAGTGGCCCATGCTTCAAACAGGCAAACGGACGGCCCATGTTTCTGCATCCCATTCCAAGCCCGAACATGCTGCGTGTAGCACGTGCCTGCCCAACACCCAGGTCCAAAGGAATGACCTCACGGACTCACCAGAGGTGTCAGTACTAGTAGCGTCCTTGCTCCTAGTAGTAAGGCCAGGAGCCCCTAGTAGCGTCCTTGCTCCTAGCCTATAGACAGGGGACATTGATAAGGATTGAGATCACAATAATATTTCCCTCGTGCGCATGTATACAGTTAAATATCAGACCGAATCAGACCAAACAAAACTACCAACACGAATCTGTGGTAAATTTTAGGTGAACGTACTGATGTCGAACAAGTGTTTTCCCGGCAAAAAGTAAATTTGAGGTCATCACCATGAATCATCACACAATGTCTTGAGAGCTCTGAAAGGAACAGTTGTCTTAGTCTCAAGTGCAGCTCACTGTGCGAGCTGCTTGCACTCTGTATCGACCACACCAGCACAGCCAGGTGACTCTCAAGTCACTGGGCACCCTTCGCAACTTCGCATTCTTTTGAATGTTTGAAACATAGGAACAAGAAGCTACTAGGGGCTCCTGGCATCGCTACTAGGAGCAAGGACGCTACTAGGGGCTCCTGGCCTTACTACTAG